GCACAGGCCTGTAGTGAGTACTAACCTCCACTCACTGTGATAACGTCATTCAAGTAAAATTTCACGTACTACTAAAGCTTTACTCCTCAATCAGCAGGTTTGATTCTGTGCACACCTTCTGCTCAAAGATGTTAGACAGGTAAAAAGCTGATCCCAGCACATGTTCTCATGCTCACTGTCTCCAGCGGCAGCAGACTGTGACAACTGCAGACGAGTGGTGAAACACAGGAGGAGTTTTCAGGGTAAGAGACTGCCAGAGACTCCGTCCTCCATCCAAAGACTCACTGAGTTCATATTAGAGGCGCTGCTGCTCAGAGTCCAGCTTTATTGAACCTCTATGAGTCATTTCTGTTTCTATATGTGTCTACAGTGCATCTGACACTCTTTTTAAAAACTTTGACTTCAGTTGAGAGAGAAATTTTAAAACAGGGTCTAAAAATGGCAGTAAGAGCAGTGACTCAACAGCTGAGGTAAAAAAAAAATCAGCCACATGTTCAGAAGAGGCTTTAAATTATCAATATGATGCACCAACAGGGTGAGATCTCAGTCTCCAGGTCACTCAAAGGACTTCACAACACATGCAGCTCACAAATTTAAGCCAGTCCTCAGTACGTTGATTCGATAAGTGTTCGTTTTGAATTCAGCCTTGCCTTTAATTTTAACTGAAATATAGTCAATTCTGCCCTTTACAGTTTAAGTCAATGAAAAGTGATTACTTTAGGTCATTTGCTCTGATCAAACAAATTCAATCAAACTACCAAAAATTGGTATCAAGGTTAATGTTACAGTCTGAAATGTTTCACTGTCGAACAAAAACTTTGATTTTGACATAGAGGTAAGCCAAAGCTTGCAAAAATTACTTTTAGTCAGTTACTTTAGTAAATTTAATGAAGTATTTCATTTAACAAACATTTTCAAAATCATTTTGCTGCCCATTGATTCACTAAGCTCTTCAACCTTCAGGTCCAGAGAGGTAAAATAATCCAGAAACACACCGATCACAGGACCGAGGATGGTCCTCAGAAATATACTGTATTAAGAAGATGAATCCTCCTCCTGCATAAAATATTTCCTTTGTTCTTTTTATTTCAGACAATATTTACTGTAAATCTTTATTTATTCAGCTCTTAAAGGGATAAAGGGATAGGTGTAAATTTAAGTTATGGTCAAACACACCATAACACAGAGTTAGACACCCCCTCCAGAGATGAATGTTGCAGACTGCTTGCTTCTCTAGTTTATACCAACTTTAGTAACAACCGTACGATAGCAATACACAGGGGTCTCAGGAGTCTTAAACAAACCTCAACCAAAAAGCCACTCTATAGCCACAAATAATGCTCAGAACAGCACCTAACTTCATCAACAGTACATATAGGGTCCCAGCCGTAGTAGTAGTACTAGCCATCAAACATCTTCTAAGCTTTGCCTGATTTCTTTAGCAAAGAGACTAAACACAACCCACCCTCTCTCCTCCAGCAGCTGCTTGTTTGTGGGGGAGCCCTGATGAGTCGATCACAGAGTGCAGCAGAGTTTCGCAGCTCAAGGGAGAACATTTATAATAATTACTTCATGGAAATGCAATCAGACCAAGGTGCTAAGGCAGAAGAACTACCCCATCTGCAGTGCAAAATGATTATTATGATGAATATTACTTCATGATGGTCTGCTGCACTTGGTGATCAACTCGTCAGGGCTCCCCCACAAACAAGTGGCTGCTGGAGGAGAGTGGATGAGTTCTGTTTAGTCTCTTTGCTAAAGAAATCTAAAAAGAAGCTAAAAAGATGTTTGGTGGCTAGTGCTATGGCTGGGACCCTATATGTACTGTTGATGAAGTTAGGTGCTGTTCTGAGCATTATTTGTGGCTATAGAGTGGCTTTTTGGTTGAGGTTTGCGCGTAGAGACATAGACCACTGTGTATTGCTCTTGTGCGGTCATTACTAAAGTGGATGTAACTAGAGAAGCAAGCAGTCGGCAACATTCATCTCTCGAGGGGGTGTCTTACTTTGCGTTACATTGTCTTTGACCCTAACTTAAATTTATGCTGGAATATCCCTTTAACTGAAAATCTGTGGAGAGAAGCCCTTTTTTTCCCTCTCTCCTTTTCTCTTTCTCCAGTCAGTTTGATTCATTACAACTGTACCACTTCTGCACACACACGCGCGCATGCGCACACACACACGCACACACACATACACACATAAAATGAGGATAATCTGAGTATTTTTCCAGTGAATCCCAGAGACATGGTGACAATAGAATAGAAATGTTGCGTGTAATTCAGAGGCCTCAGCGCTCTCATGCTCCAGCGTACAAACAAACATATATCAGTCTGCCTCTAATCCTCATGTATGTGTTTGTGTCTGTTTCCTTGTGTCCTTTGTGCCACAGCAGAAGAGAGGAGCAGATAACACCTCCATCACATTGTTTTAAATGTTAAATCCTGCTTTTATGCATCACTCACTCCGTCATTGTTGTTTTATAAAAACAGGTATCCTCCGTCAGAGATGGAGCGATTCCTTGTTGCGTAGACGTGCAATGAAACTGCACAGAGTCATAGATCTGCTCCTCTGAAGTCCTCCGAGGGAAGCTGCTAATTTTCGTCTGGGAACAAATAGTTCACTAATTAAAGATGTAAATGTCATTGTGTTTGCAGAGAGTGTGATCTTATTGAAATGCAGTGACATCAAGGGGAAAGCAGAGCGGCTGAGAACGCGCAGACAATTTAACTCATGATAATAGGAGCTGCGATGGTGAATGAGGTCAGTCTAAATGGATCAAATACATTCAGTGTTTTCTCAGACAATCGGCCTTCTCATTTCAAGTAGAAAATGTTTTCCAATAAACGGTGTCTGATTACACACCCTCTCACATTTACTCTGCTGCTAATGGAGCTCAAAGCTTTTAATGATCTCCAATACAATTATTCTGTTAGATTAGATCAGCCTGCTGTTACTCTGCAACATTACTAATGTTCAATTTGGGAATCTTTAATTCATTTGCAAACTGGGGCTCCTATAGGTCTTTTTTATCTCTCCAAACTCTAAAGTAAAACCTCTCTTTTTAAACGTTTGGCCTGTTTTAGCACAGCAGGTGTCTAAGTGACTCATCAGACCCAAACGTTTCTGAATGTCTGCAGTAAATGAGTTTATCCTGCAGCAGGTAAACAGTGTCACTGTCTGTACATAGTCCCAAAGCGACCAAAGTCAGCCTGTTAAAAAGTTCTTGGTAACAGGCTTCAACTGTTACTCTAAAAGTGCTTTTTAACTGGAGGAACTCATTTTGAGGAACTCTATCCATTTCAGCAGGAATCAGGGTCTAGATTAAATTCTAGGGTCATTTGTTCTCTGGAAAAGTGGCAGCAAATCTAAGGTTATGCCAACAGTTTATCTTTACAAACATATGTCAACCACACAAAGCTACAAAAATTTGTAGGTTTTTGCCATTAACTGTAGACTATGGACAACTTGGCTCCACCTTCCGCCAGTAAACCGATTTGAAGCCAAAAAGCTCTCAGTAATTCCTGTTTTTTTTCACAACTTCCTGAAACCAACATTGCGCAGTAGAGTTGTACGCACTCCACCACTAGCTCAAACAGTGGGGATACGCTGTTTGAGCTACGCAATCTTCATATGCCCATTGGCTGTATTAAGTGTCAATCATAGAAAACATGAACCCCCTAATAACTTTTAAAAATGGAGCTGCACAGAAAAAAGAGGACTTGAGCACAAACCAGTCTTACAGTAACTACATGTCAACATCGCAACCATGAGGAAGAAAATTTTATACTCTGTGTAATAAATTTCTAAAGTTTGTCCACAGCTCCATAGGGATTGCTGGAGGAGGTGGGATTTATGACCTATACTGCAGCCCGTCACCAGAGGGTGCTGTTCTCTGGGTGGCTTCACCCAGCGAGGAGGCAGACGGCGTCTATTTTATATATAGTCTATGGTTTTTGCACTTAATATTGTAAGCACATTTAGCTTTATGAACTGGACCTTGAGACAGAAATGATGTGTATTATTTGACGCTCTCAGTGGCAGCAAACCACCCTTGAGAAATTATACCCCTCAGGACTCTGTTTACATTGAGCGCTTATGAAACAGACATGGTTTGTCCTCCCCTAATAAAGAGATGGTAACATTCATGTAGGTTTGATTATACATGTTGTTTCAGAGTGAGGGAAAAAAAAATCGACACTGAGGTCCTCTAAGGTAACACAAACAAATCAAATCAAATCAAATCAAATTTTATTTATATAGCGCCAATTCACAACAGTCGTCATCTCAAGAGGCTTTCCAAAGAACAAGAGCAGGTCGAGACCACGCTCATTGTTTGATGATCAAGAACCAACCTAAGATGGGTTTTGGCCCATCTCAACTAACATGAGTAGCAGTGGCAAGGAAAAACTTCCTTTTAACAGGCAGAAACCTTGGGCAGGACCAGACTCATGCTAGACAGCCACCATGCCGCTGCTGGGTTGGGGAGGAATGTAGAGAGAAGAGGGGAGAGGGGGAGAGGACAGGGGGAGGGAGAGAGACAGCAAGAAAGGGGAAAGGCGAGAGAGAATTAGTACGGAGAGGGAGGGGGAGGGAGAGAGAGTAGGGAACGAGGGTGATGAGAGAGAGACAGGAGGCAGCAGGAACAACAGCAACAACGACAACAGCTCATGTAATGGTGAAACAAAAAGACGTTCAGTTTACAGGTTTAGGATATGAGAAATAATGGACAATGTTGAATTAATTGAGTGTGATTACAGTTAGCGGGGGGGGGGGGGGGGGGGGGTGTCTCTGCAGCAACGGTCCAGAGAAGCCAAAGAGCCAAAGAGATGGAGCTCAGGGCCCAGGATGGATGCAGCTGGGGTCAGGCAGTTCCGCAGCAGACCGTTTGCAGCATTAGTCCAGTGGCAGCTAAAAGACTCAGAGACACTCAGAGAGACAGAAAACTGGTCAGTGACTTATATGAAAGCTCTTCCTCCAACACTACTTTTAGAGACATTTGGTACAACGAGCAGACCTGCAGAATGTGAGCGTAACGGTCTAGATGGAAAGTACGGTATAACTAGCTCGTCGAGATATGATGGCGCCTGGCCATTAAGCGCTTTATATGTCACAAGGAGGATTTTAAACTCAATTCTATATTTAATAGGGAGCCAGTGAAGAGAGGCTATAACAGGGGAGATGTGCTCCCTTCTACTAGTTCTAGTCAATACCCGAGCTGCTGCATTTTGGACCAGCTGAAGAGTCCTTAATGACTTACTAGAGCAGCCTGATAGGAGAGAATTACAGTAATCCAGCCTAGAGGTAACAAAGGCATGGACTAGTTTTTCTGCATCGCTCTGAGACAATATGTGTCTAATTTTTGAGATATTGCGCAGGTGGAAAAAGGCTGTCCTAGAAATTTGTTGAATGTGGGAGCTAAAAGATAAATCCTGATCAAATACAACTCCTAGATTACGCACAGTGGGGTTGGATGCCAGGCTGATACCATCAAATGTAGCTAAATTACTAGAGAACGCCTCTCTAAGGTGTTTAGGACCGAGGACCAGAACTTCAGTTTTGTCTGAGTTGAGCATTAGAAAGTTATTGGTCATCCAGGATTTTATATCTTTGAGGCAGGCTTCTAACCTAGCAACCTGGCCTGCTTCCTCTGGCTTTATGGATAGGTATAGCTGGGTGTCATCTGCATAACAGTGGAAATTAATCGAATACTTCCTCATAATTTTACCCAGCGGAATCATATACAGGGTGAAGAGGATTGGACCGAGCACTGACCCTTGCGGCACACCGTAGCACACTTTGGTGTGTGCAGAGGAATTATTATTTACATTGACAAACTGGGATCGATCTGTTAGGTACAATTTAAACCAGGAGAGAGCTGATCCTGCTATGCCTATAGATTGTTCTAGTCTCTGAAGCAGGATGGAGTGGTCAATTGTGTCAAATGCTGCACTAAGATCTAACAGGACTAGAACAGAGAGAAAACCATTGTCTGAGGCCATGAGTAGGTCATTTGACACCTTTAGCAGAGCAGTCTCTGTGCTGTGATGGGTTCTAAACCCAGACTGGAAATCCTCTAATAAACCATTGTTATGGAGAAAATCACAGAGTTGATTCGCAACAACTTTCTCTAGGATTTTAGAAATAAAAGGAAGGTTGGATATTGGTCTATAGTTAGCTAGGGAGCTTGAGTCTAGAGTAGGTTTTTTAAGGAGAAGCTTAATCAATGCAGTCTTGAAAGACTGGGGAACATATCCTGTTAATAAAGACGTGTTAATCATTTTGAGCAGGGACGTACTAATCAAAGGAAGAGTTTCCTTCAGCAATTTAGATGGAATTGGGTCTAAGAGACACGTCGATGGTTTGGCTGCTAGCACCACTGATTTTAACTCAGGAAGGTCAATAGGTACAAAATTACTAAGGTGCACCAGAGGCCTTAGGGGCTCCTCAACATTTTTAGGGTTATCTGAGAGAGAGACACTTGGTGGAGTCAATAGGTTACTAATTTTACCTCTTATTTTTAAGATTTTATCATTGAAGAAGCTCAGGAAGTCATTGCTGCTAAGGGCTAATGGGATACATGGTTCAGTGGTGCTCGGACAGTCTGTCAGCCTGGCTACAGTGCTGAAGAGATATCTGGGGTTATTCTTATTTTCCTCAATAAGAGACGAGTAGTAGGTTGTCCGAGCACGTCGTAGGGCTTTCTTATATTTATCGAGACATTCCTGCCAGAGAAAACGAGCTTCAGCTGTTTTGGAGGAGCGCCAAATCCTTTCACATTTTCTTAATAACTGTTTCAGCTCACGGGTTTCAGCATTATACCACGGGGCTAGCCTCTCGCGTGTAATAGTTTTCTGTCGAAGAGGGGCAACTGAGTCTAGAACTGATCGCAGTGTGCATGAGGTATCATCAACAAACTGGTCGAGTTGCAAGGGACTGATGTTTAAATATGAGCTATCAGTAAAGTTTTTCTCAACTACAGAATTTAGAGCAGACGGAATTACCTCCTTGAACTTAGTAACAGCATTTTCAGACAACCTTCTAGTTAGCACGACTTTGTTGTGAGGAGAGTAACCTGAGAGCACAAATTCAAAAGTTACTAGACAGTGATCAGATAATAGAGGATTTAATGAGCTGACTAACAGGGCATCAGTTTCGAGGCCATAAGCCAGGACGAGATCGAGAGTGTGGTTAAAGCAGTGCGTAGGTCTATGTACACACTGTGTAAACCCAATTGAATCTAGCAAGGACCGAAAAGAAATGCTTAGGCTATCATTTTCCACATCTATGTGAATATTAAAGTCACCGACGACGATGACTTTATCTGCGAGAAGGACTAATTCGGATAGGAACTCTGAGAACTCTGACAAAAACTCAGAGTATGGGCTCGGAGGGCGGTAAACTATAGCAAATACCAGTGGTCTCATGGACTTTGAGGCTGGGTGCGGGAGACTGAGAACGAGACTTTCAAAAGAGTTATAATCTAGTTTTGGTCTTGGGTTAATTCTAAGACTGGAATTGTAGATAGCTGCAACTCCACCACCTCGGCCGGAGTCTCGAGGAATGTGAAAGTTTAGGTGGCTAGGAGGAGTGGATTCATTTAAACTTACATATTCATCCTTACGCAGCCATGTTTCGGTTAGGGACAGTAAATCAATGCGATGATCAGAGATTAGTTCATTTATTAACACAGATTTTGAATTTAGAGACCTTATATTCAGTAGGCCACATTTTATCTTACTAGTACTTGGTTCAGCTATGTTAACAGTCTTAATTCTAGTAAGGTTCTTGTTATTTACTCCTTTTTTAATTGATCGGTTAGAATTTGAGAGCCGAGTACGAGGGACAGACACAGTCTCTATATTAAAGTGACAGTAGCTAGGAGGCTGCTCTAACAAAAGTACAGAGGAACGTGTAGAGCTGTGGCTATGCTCCCTGATTTCTATGTCAAGCTGAGAGTAGCTTGGAAGCTGCTCTGAAGGGAGTACAGAGGGACGTTTTACACTGTGGCTCTGCTCCCTGATTTCTATGTCAAGCTGAGAGAAGCTTGGAAGCTGCTCTGAAGGGAGTACAGAGGGACGTTTTACACTGTTGCTCTGCTCCCTGATTTCTATGTCAAGCTGAGAGTAGCTTAGAAGCTGCTCTGAAGGGAGTACAGAGGGGCGTTTTACACTGCGGCTCTGCTCCCTGATTTCTAAGTCAAGCTGATTGTAGCTTGGAAGCTGCTCTGAAGGGAGTACAGAAGGGCGTTTTACACTGCGGCTCTGCTCCCTTGTCTCTGTGTATAAGTGGTAGTGGCTGGGAGGCTGCTCTAAAAGAGGCGCAGGGGGGCGTGTAAGACTGCGGCCCTGCTCCCTGATCTCTGCTTTGAATTGTCAGTGGTTCGGATTAATAAAATCGGCCAGATTTCTGGATAAACGGGCCGCTCCATCTCGGGTGGGATGAATGCCGTCCCGACTAATCAGACCAGGCTTGCCCCAAAATGACTTCCAATTATCAATGAAGCTCACGCCGTTTTGCGGACACCACCTCGACAGCCAGCGGTTGAATGATGAGATACGGCTACACATCTCATCAGTTGTCTGATCGGGCAGGGGACCAGAGAAAACTACGGAGTCCGACATGGTCTTGGCATATTCACACACCGATTCCACGTTCAATTTAGTGACTTCCGACTGGCGGCGTCGGGAGTCATTTATGCCGACATGTATTACAATCTTACGGAATTTACGTTTAGCCTTTGCCAGCAGTTTTAAACTACCTTCGATGTCGCCCGCTCTGGCCCCCGGGAGACACTGAACTATGGCCGCTGACTTCGCTAATTTCACATTTCGGACTACAGAGTCTCCAATCACAAGAGCGTCAGGCTCAGCAGGTGTGTTGCTGAGAGGGACAAATTTGTTTGAAGTGTGAATGTGGTGGTCTACCGTGGGCTTCTTAGGTCTACTGCTATGCTTCCCTTTCACAGTGACCCAACCACTACTACATCCCGGCTGCTCGGGATTCGCCGGGGGGGAGGCTAAGCTAGGCCGACCCGCACCGGCTACCGAGTCCTGGCTGGCTATCGCTACACTAGCATCGGTGCGGAGCCGCTTTTCTAACTCTGTAATCCTCGTCTCCAGAGCTAAGAATAAACTACACTTAAAGCAGGTATCGTTATCGTCTAAGGAGGACGAGGAGTAACTGAACATCTGACACACTGAGCAGAAGCGAGCAGGAGAAGCAGGCGACCGGGGGGAAGCCATCGTTAGCAAGTGTAGCTAAGAGAAGCTAAGCTAGGAGCTAATAAAGTAAATGGTCAGAGAGATCGCCCGGAGTGGAGATAAAAACGGTGCTTGGTGAAAACTATCAGAAATACTTACAGACTTTCTAAACAGACAGATGTACTGATAAATTACAGATAGAAAATAAACCAAAACAGCAAGAGAGCGCTTTCAGGAGGAAACGAAACGCTACACACAGTTCAACAGCAAGGAAGGGAATGAAGCAATGCGCACGCTCACCAGTCAGGAGGAGGAGTCAGAACAAACAGCACTCTGTGATTGTCCTGTTCCTCAGGAGGGAGAGGAGATTCAGAGAGAGGGCAGACTTCAGAGATAACATTAGCTCATCCTTTCTCTAGCTGAATGTGATATTTACTTTGTGGAATTAGACGAGTACAAAGGAGCGCACGCTGGAGCCGTTCTCCTGCTGGGCCACACTCACGGAATAGATAACACATCTGAGAAGAGAGGAGGTCCTCACTGATACAGAGCTGATACAGAGACAGGCTGTAAAAAAAACTGTGACTAATGTGTGTCTCTGCTGATTTTGCTTTCATATTTACTACCTGTTAAATCTTGAAACCCTGTGAACTGGCTGTGAAAAAGCAAAGCAAAGTTTTAATCATTGATCTTCACCTTACCTCTCTTAATTTCTTCCTCTCACATTTACATGCACTCTTTTACACTTGTTTCTACGCTGACACACGGAGGTGTTACATCACTATAAGTGAGATGATATCTCATTAAAGTTACTTTTATTCAGTTAAATCTTATTGTAGCGATTTTAAATTCAAAATAAATGTCGAAAATTAATCAAATTAAATTATGACATTTATGCACTCGTTGAAGGGGCACCACCCACCTTTCTGGTGGGAAAAAGGACGAAACAAAGTTCAATTGAGTAATTAAACGTTGGATCAGTCTTACACAGATTTAAATCAGTCTCTCATCTGAGGCCGGAATTCTTCATTCAGGGACTACTTTCTGAAAGACCACTAAGACGACAACTTAGAATTAAATGGACAATTTATTAACAAGCTATATGATAACAAAACGTCAATAAATGATGATCAAATAATGAGCAAATCAAAGCACATCTAATGAATAAACGAAGGAATGGTTTAAATTAAACCTAAGACTGGAGGTTAATAATAGTGAGTGAATAAAGGGGAAATTTAACCTACGTTAACGGAGTTACGAGGGTAAATAAAAGGAATTTGGAGAACTAAACTATAATTTATAAGAGTAAGCTACTGAACGGTTGACGGCATCACCCAGTTCTCATCACAGCAGTTTAGAGGATTTAGCCTACTTTGGACGTCGGTTCTCAGCGGCACCCTTGGAATGGATCAGCTGAAGTTCTGTGGCTACCGGACCGGATACTGAAGGTTCGGCGGGGAATTCTTCCGCCGTGTCTGGATCTCAGCTTCAGGACCGTGTCAGCGCCGTTAGATACTTCGGATCTCTGGGCCTCTCGGAACCAGGTGGCAAAGCAGCTTGGCAGATGATGCTGGTCGGCGTTCAGGACTTGCTTGGTTGCAGATTAATTCGCGCCAATAACTTAAGAAAATAATTTCGCTGGCCAGCCGATATTATCTTCAGGAGTCACTTTAGCGAACAAAAATAAAAGACTTAGACTGAGGTTCTCTTATGCGCGCAGCTTGTTACTGAGGCTCTAAAGGACTTGGGAATGCTTTCATCCAAGTTTAGAATAAAAATCTGAGCTTAAGGCAATTAATAAAACGCGGGGAAAATTGCGAACGATAGGCGAAGACAAAAGAAAACTAGACGAAGACAAAAACGGAAGAGACAAAAACTGAAGAGAAGAAAAACTGAAGAGAAGACAAAAACTGAAGGACGAGCAAAGACTCCCGGGCTCTTTTAAACCATCCCGTGTGGGCGTGAGCCAAGAGGAAAGTTACAGCCAATGCTGTAACCCGATGCAGCACATCGACTGGCAGCGAATTTAACTCAACTTGATATTAAAAGCGAGCTAGATCTAATTTACTCACTCACTATGATTAAACTGTTTATAACATCACATACGATCACATTTCACTTCATTGTTTCTTATGAGCAGACGCATTAAAGCATGACATTGCAAACAGTAAACTTTGATCAGCCGTCTTCTTGACACTAACAGAGGATTAATGACTTTTAAAAGTTAGAGAGGGACAGAAAACAAATTATCTATTCGAACAGAAACACCATCCAGCATAAGAAACACATACGTAATAATATTTGACAACATTATAACCTTGTCAATCAAGCTTCCCAGATGATTAATATATATTTTTGTGTGAGGTAGATAAAACATAGTATGGATACATTCCGAAACTCTTAACTTGAGTCTAAACGAGTTTCACGTTACTACTTCTAAACTACTAGCCTATCTTGGGAATACCATTTACTAAGCTACGAAGTGTATAACAAAAGGAAAGAAATACACGTGATTAGATTCCTGCCATTTGGCTCTGATCAAACCATATTCAGGCATCACCACTAGGAGGAGCTCTTGGTCCATGGAAAACCTGGAATAAATTTGTGAAGTTAACAGTTTGGCTTGTGGATATGTTACAGAATTGGAAAAAAGACCATTTCATTAAGAATGTGGTGTACAGACAGAAAATCCTGGTGAAGTGTCCATTAAACATGAAGTTAAACCATTTTCAGGCATCTTCTTCCTTCTGCTCTGTAAAGAAAGCCAAGGAATTTATGGCAGGCATCTGGTTTTTCAGATTTGGCGCCAACTGGCCGGTTTTCCCCCCTAGGTCATTGGGTTAATCCTGAAGTGTCAATTCTGATCTTTCCCAACCAGGGTGAGAGACTCCGTGTTTATGGGTCTGTGTGGTTGATAAGCAACTTGTCCTTTTTGGGAAGCGTTAAAGATTCACTATCACCTCCCAAATAGTTGCCTGGGTCGTAAATGGGAACTTGGTGTGCACACCGTTACTCCCCCATTTCCTGTCCAAACCAGAGGAGCCTGCATTCCTTTGAGGGGTGAATTCAAGGTTGATAGCAGAAAGCAGTTGTCTCATTACATTATGGTTCACAGGAGAATATTTTACACTTTAACTATTGATTCTTGTTATTTGTCCATCTCTCTCTGGATCTCCCTCTATCCCCTCTTTAAACCCAGCTGAGTCTCAGCGGAAGACTGTTGAACATGAGTCTGGTTCTACCAGGGTTTCTGCCTGTTAAAGAAAGTTCTTCGTCTCCACTGTAACTTGTGAAATGCTGCAAAGGGCTACACTCACATGGTTAAAGATAGGAGTGGGTCAGATCTGACAAGATGAGACTCAATCTTATCCCATTGTTATGTTGGGTCTTCTTGTAAATATCGTGAAGAATATGGTCCAGACCAGAAGGGCATCACGACCACTTATTTTATACAAGTCTCCAAATTTAAAAAAACCATGGCTGACTAGCTATTAACAAAGACACAGAAATAAGAGTTCTAGTAAACAGTGAAATTGTGTTGTGACGTGCATACAGCTTTCAAGCCTTCAACTTTGACATATGTCTGACACTATTCACTGTTATACTTTGTGAATATATCGAGAGAAAAAAATAGCAGTGTGGCTCTTATACAGAGCACAAAATAACCTTTGTATCAAAGAGACACAGCGGCCCAGTGGTAGCTGGAAGCTGGGTTGCTATGGTGACAGATGTATACGCAAGCAATATAATTTAGTCTTCAACTAAGTGAGGAGAACTTCAAAGTGGGAGGGATGAAAGCCCGACCGCTGTCTAATGACATTTTCTCCAGCTTCAGACATTTTTGGTCATGTTCAGTGAACAATCTCCAAACGTATGATCACTGAGTGTGCTTAACAGAGGCTCCATAGTCTGAGTTATTAGTCATGTTTACATGTGCAAAATTTCTTGATCTGATGAAAAATTTAAGGGATTGGATAATCCACTGTTTAAATGGGTGCAAAATCAAATTATCCAATCATGACGTGCGTATACAGGCAACAAGCTTTATTCGGATTAGAAGCATTTGGACATGCGCAGAGTTGTCTGATTTCGCTAAAACAACCACAGAAGAAGAGTTGTATTTACGCCTGTGCTGTCAACAAACCAACAAACGCAGGAGTGGCTTACTCCTTCCAATTCAAAAGTTTCCCCCTCTGTTAAATATTGTCACTAGATGGCGCCCTTATTTATTTATTTTGCTGTTCTGTCAAAAGTTGCACTGTGCGTGCAGATGTGACATCATTATGCTGTATATATGCCTTGTTATGTTACTGGAGGAGCAGACACGATACCTGCGGTTGTGTTTCATGCCAAAGTGTTAATAATGAAACCTCCTGTACTGGCCTCAATAAATAAGCCAAAGGTTAAAGAGTGAAGATCGAGTCAGGTAAGAGAGTCACGATCGGAATAAGTGTTTACACGGATGCATTTCTGAATAACGATCGGCATAAACGAACCTTCTTGATCGGAATACAATGTCTTTCTGATTGAGCCGACTTGGATCAGAATGTTCCGATGGACATGTTTATATGAAGGGGGGGGTCTATGTTGTGTAGTTCACACTAGATTAAAGATGTCTAAAAGTTCACTTTACACATATTAAAAAGATTGAATGGTCCACATTCGTAACTCTTTCAAAAGTTCAAGAGATGGCATAATCCACACCACTGACAACACCATCTCATCCACACTGAATGCATGCAGGATACCGTAAGTGAGTTTGAGACTTCACTGGTCTCATGAAGCTCAACTCTAAAAGACTGCCATAAGTTAGTTTGGATTGACTTTTAGGACCCCCTTCCTCCAGCATGCTCCAACTTTTGTAAAAGTCCAAGAAATTGCATAAAAGTCATCTAGTGTAAGACCTGCATATCTTGTAGAGGATGATGTAGGTTTAGAAAAGATCATTTTAATAGTAGCATTCCCATCAAGCTCTGTTTGCATTCGTACAAGAAGTTTTCAAAGGGAAACTTGGCTGTTTAATTGTGCCAACAACTTCCTCTCTCTCATTTGAACTCTAAAGATCTGATGTGCGAAAAAACACCTTTATTTGCCTGCAGTCTAGATAAACCTTAGTCTACCTCTTCCTTCCTATTTTGTCACTTAGAGGCATCTCTTCTCTGTGCTCTGCAGACTCTGTCAGCAGCACGTAAGCGGTGACTCCGGCTAACGGCGAGTCGTGTGGCTGAGACAGAAGAGAAAATGACAGTCTGTGAGTTTGATGGCGTGATTTCACAAAGGCTGCCTTTTTACAGTGCGGGTATATTTCCTGTTGATTCGT